CATTTCTCCAATTTGTCCAGGTCATTTTGAATTATGACCCTATCCTGCAGATTAGTCGCATGGCTTGGTATCATCTGCAAACATAATAAGCATACTCGCTATCCCAATATCTAAATTGTTGATGAAGATATTGAACAGAGCCGGTCCCAAAACAGACCTCTGCGGAACCCCACTTGTTATGCAACCCCACTTGTTATGCCTTTCTAGCAGGATTGTGAACCATTAATAACTATTCTCTGAGTACGGTTATCCAGCCAGTTCTGCACCCACCTTATAGTAGCCCCATCTAAGTTGTATTTACCTAGTTTATTGATAAGAATATCATGCGTATCAAACGCCTTACTAAATTCTAAGTATATCACATCCACCACTTCTTCCTTATCCACAAGACTCGTTATTCTATTAAAGAAAGCTATCAGATTGGTTTGACATGATTTGTTCTTTACAAATCCATGCTGGCTGTTCCCTATCACCTTGCCACTTTCCAAGTGTTTGCAGATGATTTCCTTAATTACTTGCTCCATTATCTTCCCTGGCACAGAAGTTAAACTAACTGGTCTGTAGTTTCCTGGGTTGTTCTTATTTCCCTTTTTATAGATGGGCACTATATTTGCCCTTTTCCAGTCCTCTGGAATCTCTCCTGTCTCCCATGATTTTCCAAAGATGATAGCTAGAGGCTCAGATCCCTCCTCCCCCAGCGACTCTGAGTAATTTTGAGGAAGAGTTGACTACACTCAGAAAGTTATTTTCCTGAAAAGGCCCTGTGATGTCACTATGAATTCTTGACTAGGGTTTTTTGATCACTTCCCCGGGACATGTTGGATCTTTCTGGGGATTTTTATGTTCTTAAATCTAATGTCTCTTTATGTATGCCAATGATCCCTTATGCTGTGTGCATGCATGGCTGTACAGCAATCTGGTAACTAGCATGCATCTCACATGACTGGGAGAGGAGCCAGTCCACCACACCTCCACCCCACCAGCACTGGGGACTGGCCCCTTCAAGCCAGCAGATATAGATATAGATATAGATATAGATATAGATATAGATATTAGAGATGAGATATGCCTC